ATGATATGGTGGCCGGGGGGGGGGGGGGGAGCTGACATTTTATGGAGGAAGTGGGACATAGGCTGTGGGTGCCCTAATTTGCATCTCTCCTCCTGTACATCAGCTTTGGTGGTGGAGGGAAGTGAGCTTTCTGTTCCTTGCCCAGAGCCTGTCCTAGGGTCTGCCCAGGCCCCACCGCAGCCTCCTGTCCTCCGGCCTGGAGGAAGGAGCCCATGGCACTGGGGCCACCTTGTCCCAGCCGCCTCCCTCCTCCCGCCCAGGCAGCGCCCTGAGGCTGGAAGCAAGTGCTCCCCACAGACCACCGGGTGGACGTCACAGGATAAGTCTCCCTGGGGAAGTTCAGTCCTCCCAGGTGAATTCTGATTCATCTCTTGGGAGGATCAGAGACCTCCCAACTGTATGATTTCAGTGATACAGTCACTATCAGAAAGAGCCCTTTGGACAAGAAAGGACGCGACTTTTTCTTCCCGGCGCTGGGAAGCGGTATGGCCCGGAATCGGAGCAAGGCCAGGAGTTGTGTCTCTCTCTGTCCCGTGGTCTGCGCTGGAGCCCTTGCTGGCCCCGGACTGCCTGCTGCTTCTCCTGGGCCAGGGGCACTGCCCAAGGGTGACCAGGGAATCGTGCCGCCGGTCTCGTCCCAGTTGATTCCCAGAGTACACACCATTGTCATCCCCCAAGCTGGGTAAAATGCCTCAGCCCCAGAGACAGTGAGTCAGCAGGTCATGGACGGGGTCCAGGAATTAGCATGTCAGCAGTCACCCCGGAAGCTCTTGATGTCGTGCTCTGTGGGCCCTGCTTTGAGAAACACTGAGTCCTTCACTGATCACATTGAAATTGGGTACAGTAGTATCTATCTACATTCAGTAGCTCCGCGTGCATGTGTGTATGTGTGTGCGCACACGTGTGTGGGGGGTTCTGGAAGGATGATTAATAAAATGTCAACAGGGTGATCTCTGGGTCTGAGGAAATTTTGAATGCTTTCCTGCATGGTTTTAATTGTTTGTAATGAATGCACAATTTTTATAAACAGACAGAGCCATCGAGTCTCCCTCGGGGAGAAGAGCTGACATTTTATGGAGGAAGTGGGACATAGGCTGTGGGTGCGAGGGGGTGTGGGCAGAGGAAAGAGGCCACAGGTGTTCGTGAAAGATCCGAGCTCGGAGCTGTCCCTCTCTGTGGCTCCCAGCTCCTGGGCTGGCACTGGTGGCCTGCAGGAGAGAGGAGCGTCCTCGTTCTCATCTTCACGTGGTCTGGTTTGGACAGAGCAGGGGGTTGAGAGGGTGGAGCTGAGCCTGCAGGCTGGGCCTCCCTTTCCGTCTCTGCCCCCCGGGTCCTGGGCCTGGTGAGCTCCTCCCCAACCTGGCCAGCACGCGGGCGATTTAACAGCACTGTTATTGCTCTGTTTTTGCCCAGTAAACCCACGCTGGGCCCCACAAACAGTGCGTGAGAAGGCCAGACCCTTCCCGAGCCATGGTTTCCTACACCTTTACAACGTGATAGGTGCGGTGGAAAAAAGGGGCCGTTGGATTTATGGAAACTATATAAAGTTTATGGAGTCTTGGCAGGCCAGAAGTGGAGAAGGCCTGTCGGGTGGGGGTGGCCACTTCCAAATGGAGACAGCCATGAAAGAGCGGCAGACCTTTGTGTCGGACACCAGACAAAATCGCCCGAGTCCGGCGTGCCGTGGGGCCGTGGGGGCTGGAGACTGTGGCCTTCCGGAACAGCTATTGGGGATGCCTTTGGGGGTGACCCCATTGAATCTTACAGCCTGTCTATGAGGGGGCACAGTTTCCCTCCGTCAGCAGAGGGGAGACTGAGGCCAAGGGTTTTGAAAGTCATGAACTCGCCCAAGGTCGCCCAGCTGAGAGCGAGACTCTGGCGGTGGTTCTGGGGCAGGCTAAATCCACGCGCTCTCCTGTGGATTGAGTGATGTGTCCCAGTTTCAGGTCAGGAAAATAGGGTCTCTGTGCCCGAGTTCAGTCTGGGGCTTGTCTGTTATTTGTGATTTAGTCTCACGGTCCCCTCGTTATCTTCAGTTACCACCTCGCCCTCCTGTGGGTCAGCTTTGCTGTCGAAGTCGATCTGTGCTCAGACCGGCCCACCGGCCATGGCTGGAATGGAAGCGAAGCCTCCCAGAGGTTGGCTCTGGATCAAAGCAGAGCTAGAAACGTGGTCCTTGTCCGAGGATCCCTCCAGGTCCCACTCGTCCTATGAGATCCCCTTAGAGTTCCTGCAGGAGTACCCCAGGAGGTCTGAAATCACCTCCTCCCGAGCCCTCAGCCCTGGAAACTTCTCATTCGTTTCTCTTTACATGTGTGCTCTGTGGTGTCCATGTTTTCTCTCCTACTTGGCTGTGAGTTCTTGGAGTGCTGATTCTGTGCTGAATTCTTCATCTGATTTTGCCGGCAGGATGCTAGCTCCTGGCATATAATCATCATTGACTAAGTATCAGCTGGGAAGATGGGTAGGGGGTGGGTGGATGGATACATGGGTGGATGGGTGGATGGATGGATGGATGGATGGGGCGGGCATACATGGACTAACAAACACCCTCTTCGCATTTACACCTTTCTGCACAGTTAAACCAGCAGCCTGGCCGGGTCCTCCAGGCTTCCCCTGAATGCACTCCTGTTGCATACTTTGCTCTCTCTGAAGCCATATGGAGAAACCAGCCTGAGTGTTTGAATGTGTGTGTAAATACTTTACAATCCCCATAAACTTGTTTAAAGACAGTTGGGGGTGAAAGTATAAACTGGGGCAGCCTTTGGGGAGGGCAATTTGGAAGTAGCTATTAAAATTTTAAATGTGCCTACCACTAAGACCCAGCAGTTCCACTGTTCCTCGTCGAGCACGAGAAATACACTCCTAGGCTTGTGCACAAAGAACCACGTGCCCGGTGCGTGTGCAAGGATGCTCGTGACGGTGAGATCGGGAACTCGCCGAGTGCCCATCAACAGAGGGATGGTCACTAAACTGGGGGAACCCTCGCTCTGGAGAAAGCTGCAGAGGTGAGACCGTCTCAAGTGGAACTCGGGCAGGGTGCCTCCAGCCTTCTGGGAAGTTCTGAGACTGTAACTCATGTCCTCAGCAGATGCCTCCTCCCTACTCATTCTTCTCAACTTCTTTTCTTTTCTCCCTCCTCTTCCTACACACGAACCAGTTTACTGGAATTAGACATTTAATCCTTATGCCCACTTGCCAGTGACCTTCCCTTATAGAAAAGGAGGAAAAGGAGAGGAAACCGGCCATTTAGAGCTCAATGACGGTCCGCTGGCTCTTCACTTAAAAAGACCGAAAGGCACACTATTAAGATTTGATTCATGGGCGCCACTGTCTACCCAATGGTGAGGCCGAGAGGAAAAAGGAACCACAGTTGTTGCAGAAAACCGGAGCCTTTTTTCTCCCGCAGGACATACATTGCCTCTCGTTTTCTTGTTGCTAACGAAATGCGAAGTGGTTTTAAGGCTGTGTGATGTGTCCTTCCAACGTGTTGAAACCCAGAACCTGGTGATTTGGGAGTCAGCCGAGGGCGGCATTTCAAGCTTCCTGACGGGCGTAGGGGCTTGAGCTGCGGGGGCTGCCGTCGGGTCCCTCTTGAACTCCCTTCGGGTCCTAAGCACCACGCCAGGGAATGCCCCAGAGCTCCGGGGGGCATGGGAGGAGCACAGAACCCAGCTCCAAGTCTCAGCTTGGCCGCTTGCTTGTTATTTGACCCTCAGTTTGTCCATCTGCAAACTAGGAGCGTTAACCTTAGTCATTGTGTGACCTGGGGCAGATGCCCTGGGGTCCCGTCTGCCTCCAAGGGTGGTAGTAAGCATTAAACTAGTATACGGGGGTTCAAGCACCTAGGTGGGTACCTGCCGCATAGTGAGCGCTTGGTAAATACTTTTCAATCGTTATTATTACTGCAGATGTTTTTGCCGTGATGGGAAGACCTGGGGTTCAAACCCAGACCTCCCATTTCCGGGTGCTGATGAGGGTGATGCCCAGCTCTGCCTCTCCAGCAGGTGCCCCCGGCCAGTCATGGTACCTGTCTGAGCCCCATTTTGTTCATCTGTGAAATAAGTTTCTGCTCTGTAGTCAGTGTTGCCGGGTCTAAAGATTAATGGCAACAAAGTGTCCAGGATGCAGTTAGTGTTGGACAGATGGCAGTAACTCTTGAAAAGGAAAACTGTTTCCTAAGAAGCCTGTTTGGGAAGTGCTGTCCTGTGGGGGGAGGGATCTGCATCTGGTTCCTGTCGTGTGTGTGTGTGTGTGTGTGTGTGTGTGTGTGTGTCCCCACCCACCTGCTCACTGCGGCTCTGTAGCAGACTCTTGGAGGACGCTCCCCTCCTGGAGGAGAACAAGTATTTCTTGGCTCTAGAAATGATAGTGACGAAAAAGAGCGGCCATTGTGCCAGGCACTGCGTTGAGCTGACTTGCAGAACTGCAGTATCATGGTAGCCTGGGAGCGAGCAGATCCGACGTGGGGATGGGCAAACGGCCCAAGGACACAAAGCTGGGAGGTGACAGGGCCGAGAGTGCAACCCAGTGCTGTCCACTCTTTCCACCACACTCTGGCATGTCCCAGAGCTGGCGCCCCCTTCCTGATTGCTGGCCTCCGCTTGCCCCGCCTGTCCTGTGCCCCGGTTCCTCGACCCCATCACTTCTGCCAGGCAGGTGTGCAGTGCTGGCACCTGTGGTTCAATGTGCATCTTACCACCAGCGCTGCTTAGGCTGGAGGGTCAGGTGCCCAGATGCTCACCGTAGGTTGTAGGACCTTGTGTGCTGTGTGTCTGAATCTGTGGGTATTTAATCTATTGAAGATGCTGGGTGTGGGGAGGGGCGGCTGGGGAAATGGATTCTAGGTGCCACCCAACCCTTGCCAGCCCCCTTGCATCCGTACCTGGGACCGTGCAGGGCTCTGTCTGCCGTCTGCCTTGACTCCCCCTTGGGAAGAGGAGGGTGGGATTTTGTGCATATCTCTTTTTGCCCAGCGAATGGCATTTGTTTGTTTTCAGTTGAGAGGGAGAATGTGCAGAAGAGGACCTTTACTCGGTGGATAAATCTGCATCTAGAGAAGGTAAGCAGGCACCTGGCTTTTGGGGTAACTGAGGGGTTCCTCCATAACTGAGTGTACAGTTCCGTGGCCCGGAGAGGGGACGTGGCGGCTCTGTGTTCTCTGTTGTTGTTACTGTCATTCAGTCACTCATTCGAACACCTGTCCAGTGCGTTCTCACCGCCTGGTGTCGAGCTGCAGACTGGGAGGTAAGTAAGGTGCAGTTCTGGCCGGGGGTGGTCAGTCTACTTGGGGAAGGAAAGGTCTACCTTTTTTTTTCATGGTCAAGACTGCTTTATTGGTGGCAGCTGGTATAAGTCAACAACTATTGGTCCCCACAGAAGAACTCAGTTGTATTTCAGCTTACTGGTCCATAGAGAGCTGAATGAAACGGGACCAACTGGTTGCTGGGAGGACAACTGAAGTCGGTCCTGCCCCGGGGAAAGGGAAGCCATAGCCGGCTGAGAGGTGGCCTCCGTCCGCTGTTCCACCCACTGGAAGATGCATGGTAGCTCTGTACCCACGGGCATCGCTGCCCCACCCCTCAGATGCACGGGAATTCCATTCTCCTCCCGAAAGAGCTTTTGTGTCTCTGGAACTTTATTTTCAAACCACCTGCTCGAAGCAGCACTTACGATCCTTCGGGCCATCTGACGAAGCCCAGCCATCTCTGCTGCACGTCGGCTCAGTTACTGTCCACCGACCGGGACAACTGAACAGCAGGAGTGGATGTTGCCATGCCCGGAAAGGTCTATCTTTAAAGAGAAGTGATGAGGGAAGGTTAGAAGACATTCATTGCTGCACAACCCAAATGCATCTTTGGACAGGAGGCCAGGGGGCGGGTCTTGACTTCCAGGGGCGGGCTCTCATTAAGAGCCTTTTGTAGGAATTTGGATTCATTTATCAAGAACCCTTGACACCTTTTCACAAAGCCAGATTCCCTTGTTAATCACATAATGTTGTTATTGATCAATATATTACCTGCCTCTTTGGGTGCCCCAGGCACCCTACTTAGTCCATCACACATCTCCTTTAACCCCCTTGACACCCCTCATTAAAGCCCCCTCTCCGCCCTGTTATGAATAAGGAAACAGGTACAATGACTTCCTGCAGTCCCACCACCGAGAAGGAAGCTCTTCCTGTGGCCACTGGGGATTCACTCTGCGGTCCTTCTTCCCCTTTTCCTTCTGGCGGACATTCTCTGGCCACGCAGTTTTGAATTGCATTTTGTCTGCAAGCTCCTCAGGCAGCAGCATAAAGCAAAGGCTGCCGAGCCAGCTCCTCCTGAGCCGCAGACAAAGGGGCGAGCGAGCCGCAGAGGGCGGGGCTGCAAGTGCACCCAGAGCTGTGGTGAGAAATCGCAGCCCCCGTCCCCGCTGGGTCAGCCCGACCTGAGCATCCTGTGTTCCCGGGGCGGGGGAGGAGAGACTGTTTTCCTCTTTATAAAGAAGCTGACTTACCAGGATTCACTTGGCTCCTGCACTTCTTTCTCCTGAAATCCCACCATCTGGTTCTCCGAAGAGACCCAGCCAGCAGTCTCAGTTCTTAAACCCGGCGGTACTCAAGTGCCCCACGTTAGTGAGTTCAGGCACGAGTGTTTCCTTCCCTCCTGTCCTCTGAAAAGGTGCAGGAGTAACGACGGACTGTCCTTAGAGTTGACCCAAATGAAGGTTCTTGGAGGGAATCCCTGAAATGATTAGAAAGCGGAGAAAGTGAATGTGGATTTTAGGAAGTGGCGCCCTTGACCTGAATTCTCATTCACGGAAGTGACTTTCGGGGCCTCTGTATTTCCCGAGCGCACTTGGCCACCCACCCCTGTCCCCCACCTGTAGAATGGGAGGCTCCTGAACGCTTCAGGCCAGAGACTGCCTATCACGGACGAAGTGCTTTATACATCATTTGCCAGTTGTTTTTTTTAAACTCTGGGTGCATTTTCGGCAGGGCTCATAAAGTGAAGTGTTATTTCTGGAGAAAAGGAACCCCATGCCCCACACCCGCGTTCACTGAACCCTTAAATGAAAGCTCGGTGTGTGTCAGGGTCGCTGGAAATTCCTCCTGGTGGACGGAGTGTGGCTGTGGCATCTTTCTAGCGTTTCTTTTTATTATTAATATTAAAAAACAAACACAGGGAAGTGCAGAGGGTGATAGAGCGAACACCCATGCGCGTACTCACCCCCCAAATGAGCCTGGGTTCGCATTTTTCGTATGAGGCGTTTCCCCCTGGCCACGCTCTGGCTCCTTCCCCGGGGCAGGTGGGCAGCGCCCACTCGGAAGATAAATCAGATGGCACCTGGAATCGATGCCCAATAAACGGGGCAAAATTAACAGCCACGTTTCCAACCTCGAGAGTTTCAAGAGCGACCTTTCATGTAGAGGAAACCCAGGAACCCCCCGGGGAATCGGGCTTAACTGCAATTTGAAGGCTGTCAGAAATATTTACCGCGTCTCTGGCTTCTGGGAAAATTCCTTCATTTACCGAAGGAGTTAGATCATGAAGAAAGCCCTGGGGGGTGCTGTTTACTCGGCCATACCGATCTCATGAAACCCACGGAACATTCGGGGCCCCCGGAGTGTTTTCTCTGGAGCGGTTTCAATTTCTCCCCCTGCCCTGTCGCGGATGGACCGCGGCCAAGGCCCCGTGCGCCGCTGCCGCCGAGGCTCCCGCAGACGCCGGGGATGGAAGCCATCCGCCTGCTTCTGCTCGAGGCCTGGCCGTGGGGGTGGTCACTGGGAATTCTGCTGGTCCGTCCACGGGGCGGGGGGGTGTCTGCCCGCGATCCCTGCCTCACAGGAGCAGGCGTGCCCTTTCCCTGCGAGTCTCTGAGTCTCCGTAACCTGATGCCCTCGGACCCGGCCTGGAATGAGGCCAAGGAGCTGCGGGAGTTTGCAGGCAAAATCATCTGCCTTGTGGTTCGAAGTCACTGCTGCCCTGGAAGCGAAGCCCTTTTCCGTGCACCTGTGGGTGGAGTCGCCCTGCATCTTGACTCACTGGGGGGTCAGGGGCTTGTATAAGGTCTAAGGAAATGCCACTTTCCTTAATAAAATAGAAAACGTGGGCCCTCCAAGGCTACCGGGGAAGGAGGCCTTCCTGGAGGACAGGGGGCCTGGGTCATAGCCCCACTGGTTCCGAGGCTTTTCGTCCCCTGGGTCTCTGGCTGGTTACAGCCATCCCCCCATTTATACTCATCTCCCCAGTGAACACCCCCTTTCACTGTACCCAGGAGCACAGAGCACCCAGCCCAACTCTTGTAATGTTGCCAAAGGCCCCAGTACTGAAAAGTAGATCCCTGCCGGGCTGGGGCTTGAGAAGGGGCTGCGCGCACCCTTTCCCGAGGTTCTGTGGCAGGAAGTCTTCACCGTGCTGCAGTGGAGCTATTATCAAGCTTAGTCAACAGAAACCTCTCTCCAAGCAAAGTCTTACCTGACACCCTAAACAAAGGCCCAAAAGAGCTGGGCGTCTCTGATGAAGGGGGTACAATGGATCAGCCTCCTTCTTGGCACCCCTCGGCCCCCATAGGGCACCCTGAAGCTGTTCTGCTGAAGCCTAGGGTCCGGGAAGCCCAGTTTGCTGACCCCTGCGCTGGAGCATCTGACCGACAAGTCCCAGCCAGCCCCGTGGACTCCAGGCCACGCGGAGCCAAGCTCTTGGTGGACACAGCACAGTGTCGGCTCACCTGGACAGCAGCCCCCTCCAGGTCGAGGCTCAGAGAAGACAGCTGGGGTGGAGGGACTTCCAGCTCCTCCCACCCAGGCCCCTTCACACCCTAGATCCTGTGCGGAGAGTTGCCTTTTCCCCAGGGAGAGGGAAGAGCCTGGGTGAACCGGGGCGGAGGGGGCTGTTTACAGACCCAGGGAACCCCGAAAGAGAAGCAAGCGGGGCAGAGAGACGATGCTTCAAGGTCATGCCCTACAGAGGGGCACCAGCTAAGGACATCTCCCTGGGGTACAGTGTCTTACTAAAGAGGGGACCCGAAGACTGTGTAGGGAGGAAGCCACTTCATCGTCAACTGGTTTGACTGACGGTGTTGGTCTGGGAGGTGCTGTGCCAGGTGCTTTACCTGTATCATCTCATTCCGTTTAGCTCCCGGCCTCTGCGGGGGTCAGATGCCTAGACCTGACCTCGCAGCCATGACACTCAGGCCCAGGGAGGTCAAGGAAAAGGCTCAGGGCCAAGTAGTGTTGAGGGTAGAAGCTGGATCGGACGTCAGGTGTGTCTAACCCCCTTGCTTCTTGGTGGGACAGGTGAAAGGTGCATCTTGACCTAAGGGTTAACCTCAGGAAGCCTGGGTGTTGTGGAGAAAAGAGACCGTCACATTCCATTTGGCTAAGTTTTTAATACAATTTTAATGAGTTTGATTTATTGTAATGAGCATGTACTTATAATGTACATATAAATATAGACATTACTTATAATGTACATATAAATATCCATCAACATATACATATAAGTCAGCCTGTCAAAATTTGAGATCCCGACAGACCTCCAGATTTGGGGATGGAAGGAAAGATTCTCTCCCTTCACCCAACCACCTGGCATTCAACAAGCCAGCTGTGTGCTCATCTGCCCTCCGCTCCCTCCCAACCAAATTGCCCACTCTAGTCCCCTCCTGGCTTCCTCTGCCAAGGGTGCCCCACCCCCAGACTTGGACTGACTAGTGATGATGTGACAACAGGCACCTCAGGAAGGCGCATATGCTTCGACTGGGCAGTGTTAGAGATGGGGGGCCCTGCCAACACCTGGACCTAAGCCCAGAGAGTAACTGACCAGGGCCACGCCGTCACGGTGGGTCCGGGCTGTGCTTGTGTTCAGCCAGTGTGTCCTGATGAGGAACAGAGCTGTACTAAAAGGCGACTCATCTGAACACTGGGCATGTCACCCAGCCTCTTGGAGCCTCGGGGTGCCCCAATTCTGAGGTGAAGGGCTTGCACCAGGTAATTGGATGTGAGCCCTGCTTCTAGAATGATTTCATTTTGTGGAAGGCTGTGGCTAAGACATGCCTTTTCTCTCTACCCGTAAGCAGAAACGTGGGTGTAATGTGATTCTGAGGCCTGAGATCTCATATAAGAAGGGTCCCCCAGGGCACTTGTTCAGTGGGGCCCCGATGCTGTCTCCTCCACAGCTCCCCGCGCCCCTGCTGCCCAGGCCTCACCTCCAGGGGACGGGCTTACACCCTCTGTGGACGGGTCTTGCCGCCTGTGGACAGATGGTGTCTGGACACTCTCTCCAGTGAAGCTGTAGCTGTGAACTAGTTCTGTGCGTGACACAGGCCGCTCATCGGCTGCTTGCTTCCCTTCTCCACAGTGCGACCCTCCTCTAGAAGTTAAAGACTTGTTCATCGACATACAAGATGGCAGAATCCTCATGGCTCTGTTAGAAGTCCTGTCTGGGCGAAATCTGGTACGTATGGCACAGAGGGCCAGGAAGAAATAAAACGCTGAGGAAAATGGTGCCGGAGGTTTCTTTTGAATACAGATCTGTACGTGTGTGCACATGCCTGGCCGTACATACGTCTACGACCAGGAACTGGGAAGGGTGACATTTCTGCCTCCATGACTAAGACTGATATAATCATGTGTAACCAAGCAGTGCCATTTTTTTTTTTTTTAGCAAATATACTTAGTAAATAGATGAATAAGTGCCCATTGTTTTCTGTGGATATGATAAGGCTAAAGATCAGAACCAGAATGTTCTAGTTGAACTGGCCAGACGTTATATTAGCCAGAATGATAACTAAGAGTCGGGAAGATGGAGAAGGCACCAAATTCTATCACCCACCCCAAGGCCAAAACTAGAACTGCCAGCTTCCAGAATCTTCTTAAAAATATGACCAAAATGGAATTGAACCCGCTGATCTTGAGGTTTATTTCACTTTGCTCGTAGCCAGCCCTCTGGCGTGAGTTTCCCCTCGTGCTGCTGATGTTTGGGGTTAGCTCCCGCAGGGGAGCAATCCTGTGGACTGCAGGCTGGTTAACAGCGTCCAAGGACACTGGTCTCTACCCCCTGGATGCCAGTAGTACCCCCAGGCATGACAACCAAACATGTCCCTACAATGTCTGGCCAATTGATCTGGCCAATGATCTGGCCAAAATGTCGGTAGTGTTGATGCTGAGAAACCCTCCTTTCATAGGGTTTGATTTGCCCTCAGTGACTCCTGGTGGCAAACACAGAGGTACAGTGATGATCCGTGAGCTCGGCCTGACAGTTCATACCGGGCGTGACTGACACCCTCTGGCTCGCCTTGGAATGTACACTACCCACCTGGCAGGGGCTTCAGTGCAGGACGGTCATTCTGATGGCGCCTCCGTGTCTCAGCCCACAGCAGTCCATCTCTCTGTCTCTTTCTCTCCCTCTGTCTCTGTCTGGGTCCTCTTTCTGTTTCTCTGTCTTTCTCTGTGTGTCTCTCTGTGTCTGTCTCTCTTTTCTGCCTGTCTTTATCTCCCTGCCTCGGTCTCTCTGTCTCTCCTTGTCTCTGTCTCTGTTCAGATCTCTCTCTGTGTTTCTTTCTCTTCCACCTCCCTCTGTGTCTCTGTCTTTCTCTGCCCCTCCCTCTGTTTTTTCTGTCTCTCTCCCCCCTCCCCTCTGTCTCTCTCTCTCTCTCCCCCTCCCCTGTCTCTCTGTCTCTTTCTCCCCCTCCTCTCTCTCTGTCTCTCCCCCTCCCCTGTCTCTCTCTCCCCCCTCCTCTCTGTCTGTCTCTCTCTGTCTCTCCCCCTCCCCTGTCTCTCTCTCCCCCCTCTTCTCTGTCTGTCTCTCTCTGTCCCCCTCCCTCTGTCTCTCTGACCTGGGATCGCTGTTCACAAGCTCTTGGCCAGGGAACAGGAACATCTGCCCCCCCAGGGAGGGTCTCGCGGGTGATTTAGCAGGTGTGTGTGACGCTCCGGCAGAGGCTCCGCTCTGCCAGAAACCACCGAGGGGAGCAGAGCATGTCCCCAGGAGGAGGGAGGACTCAAAGCCAGGAGCTGGGTTAGAGAGAAAAAACCTGACGAATCTGTCCCTTGTTTAACCCCTGGGTCCCCCCACTCACCAGCTCGCTGAGTGAAGTCCCAGGGACCATAAATACGGGGCGGGTTTCAGCTGGGAGCGGGCTTGCTGGAGATTAATGGGAAGCGGGGAGAAAGCGGGGGGCAGCGGGCCCGCGCCCCGAGGCCTGGCTCTGACGCCCGTCTGGTTTGTGTTTCAGCTCCACGAGTACAAATCCTCGTCCCACCGCATCTTTCGGTTGAACAACATAGCGAAAGCCCTTAAGTTTTTGGAAGATAGCAACGTAAGTATCTGAGACTCGTCTGGCTGACACAGGCCTTTCCTGCCGCCCAACGGACAGCATTTGAAGTCGAGTGCTGGTCACAAGGGAGACGGGTGAGGGACGCTGCCCAGAGGGTCACCGAGGCTAAGTTCAAACTGAGCGGAACTCAGCTAACCAGGCCGTTGGCCCTGTGTCCCCCGACGCCCGCCCACCCGCGGTCTCCGTCAGGACACTGACCCCCGTGGACACCCTGTCGTGGGCAGTGCGGGACAGCTGGCGGGGTCTCAGCTCTTTGGGACTTGTTGACTTTTTTCCTTCCTTTGCATAAGAGTGCAGTGAGCATGTCAGAGCGTAAAATTGTCTCCGGGGGAACGGAGAGGCTGAGTGAGCCAGGGAAACTTACAGAGTTCTCCCCTCTTTCATAGAACTTTCTAGACTCTAATTCACTTTTTCTGTGTTTTGAACTGCTTCATGTCCTTCGAACTGGGAACGGAGGGCTGGAACTTCCAGAGCGCCCCTTTCAGGAAGCTTGGGCCGTTTACCCGGGTACAACCCGCAGCTTGCCCAACAGTAAAGCTTGGTCTTAAAGTGTGATCCGCTTGGAGCTCTTGGTGGTGAGCGGCAGGGGCGCTGGCTGATTCAAGCAGAAAAGGACTTGGTTGTAGCGTACAGAATGACTTAAAAGCCGGGGAACCAGGGTTGGAACCCAGGGATGCCAGTCACCAGGCCCACTGCAAGGCTCCAAGGACCTGTGTGGGCATGGCCACCCCTGCACGGTCTGCACTGCTGCTAAGACAAGGGCATCGCAGCCCCTGGAATGAACCCAGTGTCACACGTTCAGATTCAAAGGCCTGGGCTACCGAGCTCCAACCCCTGCCTGCATCCCATCTTCCAAGGGGGTGAGGAGAGTGCTTTTGGATTTTGAAAGGAGAGGTGGGCTCAGCCTCCCAGACTGTGGGGAAAGCCGCAGACATAGGAGGGAGTTCAGATGGGGACAGCCAAAAAGCTCAGCACAGTTCCTAGCAGCATCACTCATAATAGCCAAAAGATGGAAGTGACCGGAATATGTGTTAATGGAATATTACTCGGCCATGAAAAAGAACAAAGTACCAATACAGGCTACCACATGGGTAAACATTGGAAGTATAAAAGATGCTAGATGCAAAGGACTACTTATTCTGTGATTTCATTCCCATGAAACTTCCAGGACAGGGAGATCCCTGGAGTCAGAAAGTAGATTAGTGTTTGGTTAGGGATTAGGGGAGAGATAGCTAAAGAGGATCCGGGTTTCTTTCCAGTGGGATGAAGATGTTCCTATATTGACTGTAGTAACACTTGTGCACGTCTGTGAATACACTAAACACCACCGAATCGGATGCTTTCAGTGGGTGGGTTGCATGGAACGTAAATCATATCTCAGTAAAGCCGATGTGTGGAAAAGCGTGTTCAGGAAAACACTGACGTTTCTGCAGCGTCAGGTTCAGCATCGGCCTCAGCCCTTGCATGGCAGTTCAGGGTGCAGACTCCAGGGTGGCTGCCGCAGCTTCCAGTCCTGAGAAAGGATGCAGACTCTGAGCCTCAGCTCCCATGTTTGTAAGATAGAGGTGGTGAGAAGACAGCCTAGCTCAGAGAGTCACTGAGTTTTGGACGTGGCCACTTGGCTGAGGCTCTGTCCCTCGCCCCTCCTGGGATGGTGCACCATCCTGTCCTCCGCACCCCTGCAAGGCAGCTCTGTCCTTTCCCCAACTCAGAATGCTTTCCATGAACCTCAGCTCAGGGGGCTGCGCTGGGCTCCTCCAGGCAGGACCCTCCACTTGACTGACTGCTGTGGTTCCCTGCACTGGGATGCGTTCAGTGAGCCACAAAAACAGAGGGCGCTCTCTGAACAGAGGGTCGGGAGACCAGCAGGCCACATGTGGAAGGTGATTCATCATGTGGGGCACGGGTCGTGATGAATGTGGATGGAATATTGGATCTGAATTTGATGGGCCGAGTTATTCACAGTATTGACAACTTCCTTCCTGGATCCAGCCTGCCCGTGATGAGCTCGCGCCAGATGAATTCTACTCTTGACATCAGCCTGCAAAATGTCCTGAGCCAGGGAGCTGGGGAGTGACTCTCTCCCTAGGTTAGGAAAGCCCAGGCCCTGCTGATTGGTGTGGTCAAAAACCCACGGCTGCTGATAGGATCAGAGACCCCTGTCAAACATTTTTAGAAGCCTTAGGGAAGGGAGAACAGAATATTTGTGTGAGGCCTCCTGTTTTCTTCCCCGAGTCTTCCTGCTGAATTTTGCAGGGTGGATTTGAAAGTTTACCATGGCTTTCTCCTCTCTTCCCCCTGAAGAAATGGCTTTTGCATTTATCAGGGGTTGAAAAGAACAAAGAAGAGAATGTGACAAAGACCGTGGTGGCCTGCAAAGTCTTACGTATTTCTCTCTGATCTGTGGACTCGGGTTTTGTTTGCAGAATAAAATGACCTGAGTGGGTAGTAGAATCACGTGGAGGGCTGGTGGAGCTGCACATGGGGTCCCCGCTCCCAGAGCCTCTGATTCAGTAGGTCCGGGGCAGAATTTGCATCCCTAAGGGGTCACCAGGAGATCATCCAAGGACTGCACTTTGAGAACCGTTGCCTTTGGGGTTTGCTAGGAGCATCATCCTGTGGTCAGAACTTAATTAAATAAGGAGATAATGTTCTAAGGGTTTCTCAAATAGACGCCTTTTAACCAATAGGTAGGATATTTCGTAATGATGCAGAAACTCCGGATATAAGTCTTGTCCAGCACACACAGTTTCTAATTGGCAATAGATGATTATCATTACCACATGGTCCGTGGATGTCAGTGCTCTGTGTTTGTCCAAAGACAGTTCAATATGCAGGTTTGGGGGCGGTAGTGGAACACACAGACAGACCTAGTGGGCACTTTCCATCCGTCCTTGGAAAAGAAGACTGAGACCTTATTTATTTATTTTTTTTATCCTCACCCGAGGACATTTTTCCCTTTTTTGTTCAGATAGAGTGGGAGGGAGGGAGAGGAAGAGAGAGAGAGAGAGAAACATTGATGTGAAAGGGACACATCGAGTGGCTGCCACCCACACGACCAACCAGGGCCTGGGACAAACTGCAACCGAGGTACATGCCCTTAGCAGGAACCAAACCCGGGTCTCTCTGGACCGCAGGCCGACGCTCTAACCGCTGAGCCAAACCGGCCAGGGTGAGACCTTATTAATGTCTGACCCTGGGCACGTCACATTTGACCTCTCTGGAATTTCTTCACCTGAACTACAGGGATAATAGAAGTACCTACATGGAAGGTTTGGTGTGAGGGTGAACTCAGTTGATACGAAGGAGTTTAGAATAGTGTCTGTGCTTGGTAAGTACTACGTACGTGGTTAAACACACTTATGACACACTTTTGCATGCACAGGTGAGAAGGAGAAACAGGTCCGTGAGGGCATCAGAAAATAACCTGTTTGCAACATATGTGGCCACCCTGTTAAGCTCATAAATTCCTTCTCTGTAGGTAAAACTGGTTAGCATCGACGCGGCAGAAATAGCAGATGGCAACCCCTCTTTGGTTCTTGGGCTGATATGGAACATAATTCTCTTCTTCCAGGTAAAACCATTTCCTTCCCGTAACCCAGAGTCATGCTCTCCTTGCGTCTGCTTAGGGCCAACAGGAGGAGTTGGGAACAGATCCAGGGGACAGTGAGATTCAGTTTCCGACAGATTTTGACTTTTCTGTTTCCTGAAGAACCGGAGGACTCCGGTTGCTAGAGATGTGAGTCCCTGTGATTTTTAGAATGGTGGGAGTTCTGTTCTCCTGCAGAGTATACCCATCCTCTTGAGAACTAAAGAATGAAATATGCGCTTCGAAAAATTCTTGCATTCTAAAGTATCAGAGGAACTGGGTAGCGTTCCCTTCCTAACGGGACTCGTGTTCATCAGTGATGATTAAAGGGCCTCTCTGAAAGATAGCTCTAGGAAGAGGCATGTGACAGGTGCGACCTTTTCCCATCCTTAGCAATGTCAGCTTCTGTTTGGAAACACAGGTTTCTGCGGCTATGAAGGTGGCATTTATAACTGCACTCAGGTCCTTTTCCCTGGTGGAAGGGAGGGGGCGGCTGTCTCATCTCCTCAACCCCCCTCTTTGAAATTGAACCTCGTGGTTCATCATTTACTTGCCCTCCCAAGAGTAAACATGATCTTCATGGAGGTGATTGGCTGGGGTTGGAGGCACAATGCTCGTGTGTCAGGGAGGGACGAGCACAGACAAGGTCTGGAGATAACAGATCTAGTTCTAGGTGAGCCTCAGACTTCAAAAGCCAAAGTCTCCCTCTCTGAGCCTGGGAAAAGGGGGCCATGGTCATAGCAGGTGGTGAGCACGAAGAGATGCTGTCTGGGAAGGTCCACGGTAGTGTTACCGACAGGCTTCAGTGACTAGTGGTCATTGTTAAACTCCCTGATAGATGCTGGAAGAATCCTGAAAATGTGTAGACAGTCAAGGCCTTAAGTCTGTCCCAGATCTGCATTTATTCACTTAGTAACTGTCTATGGCGTTTCTGTTCTGTGCCGGGCTCTGGACATGCAAAGTCCTGCGGTCGTGACTCTCTGGGATCACAGATAAGTCAGTCCCGTATCACAGAGCTCTGTGCTGCAGGCCACCGCCAAGCTATAGGCAGAGTATTGTAAGAGCGCTGAGCAGGGGCAGTTAGCTTGGGAGGAGGGGAGTGAGGACAGCTTCCCACAGGAAGTGACATCAGAGCCAGGTTTTGAAGGGTGAGGAGGAGTGTGCCAGACCAGTGCTTCTCAGACCCGACTCTGCATGCGAACCGCCTGGGGGTAGTGTTGAGATGTGGATTCTGGTTCTGGGGCAGGGCCTGGGCTTCTGCATTTCTCACAAGTGCCCCATGATGGCAGCCAGGGGGTAGCTGATGGAGGAGAGGGACATCCTGGCAGCGGGGCTTGAACGTGGTGCATTCTGGGATGCTAGGCTGAGAAGAAAGGGGCAGGTGCAGTTGGGTCAGGAGGGCCTTGTGTGCAGAGTCTGGCCAGACCTCGAGTCTCTGGGAGAGGTACCTTCCCTGGGAAGTGTCACTTGCACTCCAAGCCACAGGAAACAGCCAGGCCGTCATGGGTGCTGCCCTGTCCCCTGACACACGGCTGTGGGCCAGGGGACTCTCCCTATCTGTGTGAGCTGGTCCCTCCAGGCAGGGTCCATGTGTCCATCAAGGGTCTGGGTCTGAAATGACTTTTTCCTCCCAGATTAAGGAGCTCACGGGCAACCTCAGCAGAAACTCTCCACCTTCCAGCCTGTCACCTGGCTCCGGGGGCACAGACTCAGATTCCTCCTTCCCTCCCACGCCCACCGCCGAGAGGAGCGTGGTGCTGTCTGTGAAAGACCAGAGGAAGGCCATCAGGACGCTGCTGGCCTGGGTGCAGAGGAAGACGAGAAAGTAAGCCACGGCGCCCCGCCCCCCATGCCGCTGCCCGGCAGAGGGAGGAGGCCCTGCCCTGCGGTGGGCAAAGGGAAGGGGCGATGATATTTACTGCGTTACGCGCCTGCCGCTTCATGTAGACCATTGGAACAGGTCACTACGTTTCTCAGGTTTGTGCACAGAAAGCTGTATTCGCAGAATCTCTGGTTCGCAGAAAGCAGATGAGAGCATCTGGATACAGATCAAAGGGGCTTCCACCATGCTCAGTCCCACTGTGGGACTGACTCGTGGGTCCTATTAACACGTCCATATCTCTTACTCATGCCAGGACGTCTAGTCTGCACCTAAAAACTCGTGACAGTAAGGCTGTAGCCCGTCAGAGGTAGGGTTGGCCTCTTTCAAAGCCGAGCCCACGGGCTGGAGGGAGTTCCTGGCCTCCTGTCCGAGCCTGTGTGGTGGGCGAGACCCGTGAGCAGTTTGGCGTCGGGCTTTTCACTCGTAGCGGCCGCAACCCCTGGGCCTCTGCGCGGTGGGCGGGGATGGGTAGAAAGCCAGGCCACGTGTGGCACAAGCCACACCAACTCAGGGCCACCAGGGCCCTGCCACGTACCCACTGGGTGAGATCTTGGTGAATGACTCCCCCTCTGGGCACGTCTGTAACGGGTAACATCGTTCACTGCCTCACAGGATAGCTAGAGGAAGACACCCCGCGAAAGCGCCTGGTGTCGTACCGGCGCATGAAAAGCACTTCACCGGTATCAGATCCCTTCTCCCCCTGCGTAGGAATAAAAGATGAAAGAGGAAGAAAGATGGAAGAGACCCTGGATCTTTGGAGTTTTAAATGAGGGGGCAGAGCATGGTGGCATTGAGGAACTCAAACCCCCATGACATGTTGTTTAAAAAGAAATCCACCAGAAGAGAGTCAGGGTGACCAAGGAAGGGGCGGTGACCCTGGGGTGGCGAAGCAGTTCTGTGTCTCCGTGGCTCCAGGACTCTGTGCTTGTGATGCAGTGTCATGGCACGTAAACCACCCTCGTGAGAAAGAAACTGGGGAGACCGAACCAGGTCTGGGGCTTCGGCACGAGTCTGTCCCGATATCGGTGTCCCAGCGGAGATAACACACTCTGGGAGTGTATGATGTGCTCAGCTGATGAATCTTATTTCCAAATTTCAAAAGGTGTTTATTTTTAAGGGTTTCTAAAGGAAATCAGTGCCTGGCAGGACCAGCCGTCTTTGACCCTCATGTGACAGTAGCTGCCACCTCTTGGCTTCCATGTGCTGCTTACAAGGCACTTTCGGTTGCCCCCTGTTGTGGCCATTCTTGGGGTTCAAGCTGACACTTCTCCAGAGCCACCCCTGGGAGGTCACAGTGAGGCGATCCCCGCTTGGCGCTGGAGAGTCTGAGGCCCAGAGGGGTACAGGACTTGCCCAAGGCCACGGCACAGGAAGCACAGAGGGTGCAGCCCGCTGCGCACTGGGGACCTTCTGGCTCTGTTTTATTGCACAGCACATCCTGTTTGCTGTTTTGAATATCACTGATAAGCTGAGTAGTGTATAAAATTGGTCCTTTATCTATCTGGAAATCGGGGAACACAAGGTCCTGTTTGGCCTCCTTGTATGACGCACACCTTCCTCTTCTGTTTGTCCGGAACGGGACATCTGATGACTCGGCAGCTCTTGGGGCTCAGGGGTCCGGGCATCTTGGCCTTGCGAGGTCAGCAGCTTCCCGCCCCACGCGGAGGCCCTTGGATGCTGCATGTCGACCCCCTTGTCGTCGACCCTCTTCGCTAAGCTGACGGGGCCGCCCTGCGGCTTCTCCTCAGGTACGGCGTGGCGGTGCAGGACTTCGCGGGCAGCTGGAGGAGCGGGCTGGCGTTCCTGGCTGTGATCAAGGCCATCGACCCCAGCCTGGTGGACATGAAGCAGGCCCTGGAGGACTCCATGCGGGAAAACCTGGAGAAGGCTTTCAGCATCGCTCAGACCGCCCTTCACATTCCCAGGCTCCTGGAGCCAGAAGGTAGCAGCGCTTCTCTCGCTCACTTCCTTCGTAATGCTGCGTGTCACCTGTGCGTCACCCGTGATGTCCAGGTGGAACATTTAAGAAATACGGAAAAATCCAATGAAGACATTAAAAAAAATTTTTTGTTCTTTTTATTGATTTTTAGAGAGAGAGGGAGAGAGAGATAGAAACATTGATGAGAGAGAGCATCTATTGGCTGCCTCCTGCATGCCCCCCACTGGGGATCAGGCCCACAACCTGGGCATGTGTCCTGACCAGGAATCGAACTGGCGACCTCTTAGTGCACAGGTCAACGCTCAACCACTGAGCCGCACTGGCTGGGCACCAATGAACATATTTATATAGCTCCTATATTCCTACACTGAGATCACTTTTGCAGTATTTGTGCATTTAATGACAGGCTTTGTGTTTTTTTTTTAACATAATTGAGAGCATTCAGTGTAGGCATAGTTTTGTCTCTTCTTTTTTCTCTTAACCTTTTAATTTTGACACAAGTATTTTGCATGTAGTTAAAGTGTCTTCATGATATATTTTTATTGGCTGCACAATGGTCCATCTCGTGGGCAGACCAAAATTAACGAGGCTCTTTCACTGCTGGCGGGCACGGAGGTTGTTTCAGAAATAGTCCACGTTTATGTGTGACGCCGCGGTGAACATCTTACTGATGAAGCCCAGTGCGCTTCTCGGATTTTTTCCTTCAGGACCAGGTCCCATCAGCGTTAAGACAGAGCTGAAAAGGACATGCCGAGTCGAGGCACTTGGCTGTTCCTGTCCCATTGATTCCCAGGCTAGTTTGGGACTTCTTCAAACTAGCAGTGAGGAGGGTCCTGGGCCACCAGCCCTGCTGACAAAGCGGCACTGAGCAAGCTGCTCACCGTGGAGGGACTAAGACAGAACAATGGACCATCTTGGGAATAAGGAGTCCTGGCTTCCACATCCTGGCCCTTCTGTTCATCAGCCTCCAGGCAAATGAAGCACCTTCTTTGGGCCTGATTTTCCTTGAGTGTAAGAAAGAGAAAAAAGCCTCGGTGGTCCGTGGGATCCTTCGCCAGCAAGCATCCCGTGATCCTTTTGAACGACTGCGTGTCATGGCTCCCTCTAACACCTGTGTCTCTCTTCACAGACATCATGGTCGACATGCCGGATGAGCAGTCTATCGTGACTTACGTGGCACAGTTTCTAGAACATTTCCCGGAGCTGGAAGCCGTATGTTGCTTTTAATTCGTTTTTTCTTTAATATTTTTTCTTTATTGATTTTAGAGAGAGGAAGGGAGAGGGAGAGAGAGAGAGAAACATCGATGACAGAGAACATCGATTGGCCGCCTCCTGCATGCCCCCCACCTGGGATCGGGTCCACAACCTGGGCATGTACCCCAACCGGGAATCGAACCAGTGACCTCTTGTTGCATGGGTGGATGCTCAACCACTGAGCCACACCGGCCGGGCTCCTTGCCTTTAATTCTGAAACTGTACATTTCCATCAGCTGGCCATCAGCCAGAGCTGGGGCTTGGGCCATGTTGTTCGAGGAGCAGTAATAATCAAAATTTGATCTCCAGCCCCTTGGGCATTGCTTTGCCACATTCTAATGTCAAATCACATATAATGTGTCAGAAACAGGACGGGGGGTAGGTGGCCATGCCTCTCATAAACCCCTTCCCAGACCACGCTGTATTAAGGTGCTAACAGATGCTCGCATGTGATGGAGGTTACTGACTTGATTGTCTAAGCTGTCAGGTGGAACATTTTAGCAGTCTACCAGATTTTATCAGCATGTGAAAAATTATTAAAGACAGTGTTCAAAGCTTACCTTTTTTATTTTGGAATCTCAGATGGTACTTGCTGACAGATTTTTTTTTGAGCAGAATGAGATCTTTTAGAGGTCATGGCTCCGTTGACCCTCCACCCAACCCATGCACAACCCTGAGATAATACTAACAGTTACAAGAACAACAGCCCTTTATGGAATGCATGGGTAATTTACTGAGCACCTACTGCTAGCTTGGGGGTCTCAGCAATTAACAAGATGGATGAGGCCCCTGACCTTGAGTAGCTTTGTTCTAATAGAGAAAATAGTTAACAAGTCAGAAAACATTATAATTTCAAGTAGTTATAGGTAAAAGACAGAAAAAACAAGCATAAAGAGCTAATGCTCACAGGGCTACTCTTTTCGCTGGAGGCTGGTCAGGTAACTAACTTCCATTCCTGCAGTCCGACACAGCTCAGCATCATTATCCTCATTTTATAGATGAGAACACGGGCCCTCAGAGGCTTAAAGCCCTCTCTCCAGGGTCACACAGCCACCAACTACGGCACCCTATGACCCCAGGTGTCTGTGTTTCCAAAGTTCAGCCTCTTTGATTTCAAAGTTCAGCTCCCATTTGGTACAGCTCAGAAGAGCCAGACTGGGTCCTCCATACTGTGGCTTGCATTCCAGTCCCTACCTGCGTGCGTGTGTGTACATGCGTGCGTGCGTGCATCACAGATCACTTCCCAGGATAAGTTAGAAGCAGGAATTCCATAGGCTAGAATGTCATTCTGCCTCTTAAGGCTGTGTGACCTTGAGATGCTTACTTCACCTCTCTGATACACTTCTGGTATGAGATGCCACCTGTAAAATGAAAACACTACCCACATTTCAGAGTTGTGCAAAGTACCTAATCCTGTGCCTGGCACAACACTTGATGCTTAGCAAATGGTGGTGATTGTTTTTTTTTATAATACTGTAATATTTAGTATAACATATTAACTTGTATATGTGATATAATAATATTTTGTAGTTTTTCTAGCCTGTTACTAAATTCTGAGATACTAGACCACAGGTCTTTTATTAGCCCTGAGCCCTGACGATGTAGGCAGAGATTGGAATCAACTAAAACTTACGGTATTTGTAGGAGTCACAGCCAGGATTCAGCAGATCTGACATTTGGATCTCCCCAGTGCTGCAGACTGGGACAGGAAAACAAGAGATTGAGCAAGATCTGAGACCTGAGCAAGTCACCCTCAGTCATGGAACACAGTGTGTCACTGCAGAACAGTCTATACACATCCCCAGGGACTACAGATCACAAGTGCCAGCTAATCTAGGCACCCACTGAACTGTCCCTTAATAGTTCAGCTGAGTTTAGTTCATTTCAGTAAACATTTTTTTTTTTATTTAATTTATTTATTTATTTAATTTATTTTTTGGTACGGGCCCCTAGCGGGAACCGAACCCGGGACTCTTTGGTCCGCAGGCCGATGCTCCAACCGCTGATCCAGACCGGCCAGGGCTCAATAAACATTCGTTAAGCCCTGGCCATCCGTGTATCAGACCCTGTGCCGAGCTTCATAGCCCCACGTGTGGTCCCTTTTAATTAAATGTACCATATGGACTTGAAAAGAATGTGTCTTACTGAAAGAATTGATGTTCTTTAAATATCAATTAGGTTGAGTTGGTTCATATGTTGTTCTCATATTCTACAGACCTACTGATTTTTTTTTTTTTTCTGCTGTTCCTATCAATTAGTGCAAGAGAGAAATGTTAAAAATCTCCAACTTATGATTGTGGATTTATTTTTCTTCTTAGCTCTGGATTTATTTCTTTTCTTAGTTCTGTCTGTTTTTGCTTTATGTATATTGAAGCTATGCTATAAATGCATACACATCGTATCTTCCTGATGACTTGGTTGTTTTATTTATTTATTTTTAACTTTTTTTTCTTTGTTTTATTTTAAGGAGAGAGGAAGGGAGAGGGAGAGAGATAGAAATGTTGATGAGAGAGAACACTGATAGGCCGCCTCCTGCATGCCCCCCACTGGGGATCGGGGCCACAACCTGGGCATGTGCCCTGACCGGGAATCGAACCGGCGACCTCTTGGTACATGGGTCGATACTCAACCACTGAGCCACACCAGCCGGACTGGTTGTTTTATTTTTATACCACTTCTTTGTCTTGCAGTGTATTTTGACAGGAATATAGCCATACAGCTTTCTCATGCTGTTTGCGTGATATGTCTTTTTCCACCTTTTTCTGTTCAGTGTATGTGCTAATATTTAAACACGTCTCTTAAAAGCAGTATATAATCATGCCTTGTTTTTTATCTGACAAGAATTCATGTGCCATTTAATTAGTATGGTTTTTGGTCCATTTACAGAGATTGAATCTACCATCTTTTTTTTTTTTTTTGGTACGTGCCCCTAGCTGCTAGGGCCTGGCGGAAACCGAGCCCGGGACTCTCTGGTCCACAGGCCAACGCTCCAACCACTGAGCCAAACTGGTCAGGGCGTATCTACCATCTTGATTATTGTTTTCCATGGGTCCTGTCTGTGCTATGCTTCTTTGTCTTTCTGCCTGACTTTTTTGGGATTATTCAGTTATTTTTGTTTCCATTTTAGCTCTGCTATTGGCTTTTTAGCCACATCTCTGTTGTATCTTTTTAGTAATTGTTCTAAGGATTATAATCCTCATCTTGAACATACCTCAATCTACCTTGAGTTCCTATTATAACACTTCAAGTAAAATGCATAATTACAAATTTTTATATATACAAAAATTTAATTTCACTCACTTCTTGTCCATTCCTCTGTGCTATTATTGTCCACTTCATTTCTACATATGTTTTAATCTTAATACTTTGTTATATTTTTGCTTTAAACAGTCAGGAGGCTTTTTAAGAAAACGTTTAGTCTTTTATATTGACCCTATATTTACTATTTCAAATATTTTTCATTCCCTCCTTTAGATCCTGACTTCCATCTATGATCATTTCTCTTCAGCCCGATGAAGTACCTTTTAGTTTTTGTAGCATAGTGATTTTAGAGTCTTTATTTGCTAGTTCTAACCCTGGGTCATATTTAGGTCTACTTCTAATGACTGTTGTTTCTCTTCATTATGGGTCTCACTCCCTGCTTCTTGGTATCTTGAAATTTTTTATTTTATGCCAGACCTGATATAAAAGTGAATATTCTTCCTTCAAGAATGTACCCAAACAAGGATTTACAGTGAGGTACTAACTAATCATTTTGGCCTTTTCAGGGGTTGATAAGGGGTATGCTGAATTTTTATTTAATTTCAGCTTTCCAGTAATTTTAGAATGAGGTCAACACACTGATTCCACCAGTGCATTGGGAGCCAACCTCTGCAATACCCGAAGATCCTTCTCTGCTTTGCAGCCCTGCCCACAGCTGTTTCTTACTCAGCAAATGTCACTGTCCCTGTGTGAGGGAATTAGCATATGAAGAGACTTGGTTTTGCATTTGGGGGCGCAGGTAGATTCAGTCTCTCATAGCTTCCCACACAATCAATGAAGAGCTGGCTGATCTTTCCTTATCTCAGGTAGGTCAGCTCTCCTACTGTCTGTCCCCAGACTGGGCAGTGGCCCACAGGGATGAAGTAGCTGATACTCTCTGCCCGCCTAGAAGGGCTCATCCTACTCTACACTTTAGTTCATTTCTTTGTAGCCACAGCTTGAAAAAGTAGTATTTTTAAAATACCGTGGCAGAAAGAATAGCCTTTTGCAACCACCTACAATTTAATTGGCGCACTTAGCGCTGGTCCTGAAGTGGCTCTTTCTGCTTTGGTTTTGGTCCTTTAAGAGGGGGATATACATTGTACTTCAACACACTTCCGGTTTCACGTTGCCCTGTGTTTCTCCGCAGGAGGACTTTGTGGATTCAGAGAGAGAAGCCCCCATTGAATCCACCTTTGTCCGCATTAAGGAAACGCCTTCTGAACAGGAGAGCACAGTCTTCTTTCTGGCTGAGAACGGGGAGCATGCCTACACCGTGAACCATGAAACCAGCCACCCCCCGCCCTCCAAAGTCTTTGTCTGTGACAAGCCCGAGAGTGTGAAGGAATCCTACCTTGGTGGTGTTCCCGGCCATGTGCTGTCAGCTAGCTGCACCGAGGTCCTACAGCATATCATGGACCAGGACCCCCAAGGGGGCCCAGGTAAGACCACTGGCCTCAGTGAGCCATGTCCAGAATCTTCCATCTTATCCAGAAAGGACAACCTCAGGTCCAATTCTCTGCCAGTCAAGAAAACGGTGCACTTTGAGGCCGACACCTATAAGGAGGCTTCCCGCAGTAAGGACCCTTTCCACACTCAAGACTTTGGCTTTGAAGGGAGCCCAAGAGGGACGAAGGAGTTGTTGAAGCAGGATGGGTATGTCTCGGAGGTCACCGAGGAAAAGTCGAAACAGGAAGTCCCCAAGAGCCCCGAAGCAGCCTCTGACAAGACCCTAGGTGATGTTTCCTTAGCAGACAGTCAGATCGGTCATTCTCAGAGTTCCCCCAGTTCTCCCTCCGGGACTGGGGCATCCGAGAGGGCAGCCAGCCTGGGGGAAGAGAGCCGCCCCCCTTCACCCTTTGGAGAGGGTACTGTTGTGGCCGATTCCTTGGAGATCACTGTTCAACTGCAGACCGTGGAAGCTATGGACGAAGAAGACAATTTCGAAGGCATACCATTAAAAGCCTCTAAATTTAACAGTGACCTCGTTGATTTTGCCTCCACCAGCCAGTCTTTCCACGAGGATCCCTGTCCTGAAAAGAAACCCGCCGATGGTGAGGTCTCCGAGGCGCACGCGGAGAAGCTGGGTAAAAGGAGAGCTAAATCCGCCCACCGAAAGGACGATTCGGACGAGCCCCCGGGGAGGCCTCGCAGGGACCCCGGACCAGAAGACCAGGACTACTTCTCGGCCCTGGAGGAGGCACCGGTGGAGAAGAAGCCCGAGGTGTACGAAAAGGCGAAGCGCAAGTCCCCGCGCCGCTGGTGCGAGGAGGAAGGGGAGGCGGCAGGGCCCCTGGAGCCCGACAGGGAACTGCCTTCCACCCCGCCCAGCAGCTGCGTCAGCCTGGAGACCCTGGGCAGTCGCAGCGAAGAAGGCCTGGATTTCAAGCCCTCCCCGCCCCTGTCCAAGATCTCCGTCATCCCCCACGACCTCTTCTACTACCCGCATTACGAGGTTCCCCTGGCTGCCGTTTTGGAGGCTTATGCGGAAGGCACAGAGGATTTTAAAAACGAAGAGATGGACTTTGAAGAAGCGGAGGACTATCTGTATGAGCCGAAGCCCAGGGAGGAGGAGGACGAGGAGGAGGAGGGGCCCGAGGAGCTGGAGAGCTGCGAGAGCAGCGACAGCTTCTGGAGGCTTTGCAAGGACCCCCCTTATTCCACCATCCAGAAGCCCAGTCTGGACTGCGGTGCAGAGGGTGCCAAACCAGCCTCGGAGCCCACTGCCCCGCCCGCCCGAGAGGACCACCAGCACAGGGAGGCTGAGGACGGTGCCCCCATGGAGAGCCAGCAGGTACTTGATCGCCCAAAGTGGGGAGGTCTGCCCTCTCTGGAGCTCAGCCTCTCCTTTCAGAGACCAGCGTCCCCCACAGGGTCCCAGGGCTGGGCAGGGGCAGGGCTGGCACTCGAGAGTGATTGATTGCCCCTTAAATGTTGTACCCTGGGTGTCTCGCTGGCCTCCCCCAGTCCTGGCCCCGCCCATGGGGCTGCCAGGAGGATCACATGAGGTCATCTCGAGGGTCCAGCATGGTAGAAACAGTAGTCATGTTAACTAGGCCTCACCGCTGCACTGCGGGTGTCCAGAGTGAGCGCAGGCCCCGCCTCCTGCCGCAGGCCCCGCCTCCTGCCGCAGCTGGGGCGAACCAGAGGGAGGCCGCACATGTTCGACTCCAGCCTTGCGTTTTAAAAGCCTTTTGCCTGTATGTGCCCCTGTGGTTCGAGGAGGGTTGTGTAAACAGGGCAGAGAGAGATGGAGCAGCTGGGCACACTTAATCTGCCACTTCAGGTTCCCATTTCATCTGGCCCAGCAGCTCAAGAGGGTCACCCAAGTGGGCAGTGAGAGGGTTGGGGGCTCTGGAGTGGCGCCACAGGGTGCAGTGAGGAGGGCCCACTGCAGACGCCTTGCTGATGAGCCCCCCACAGCAGTCCTGGGACTCCAGGTCAAATCCGTGTGATGGGGGCCCTGCGGGTGCAGGACAGACAGGGCACCCGAGGTGAAACAACCTGGGAGGAGGGGGTCCCCAGGTGAGCCCGCCTGCCCCCTCGGTCCAGCCTGTGCCAGGCAGTGTGCAGGGAGAATCGGGCAGCAAGGAGATCCAGCCTTTGATGCTGGGAGACCAAGTCCCAGTAACTGTGCTAGGAGGGAACTGGGCGTCAGACATAAGAGATGGGGCCCAGCAAAGGGATTGGGGGATTCACCGGAGGGGGACACCCACCCAGATCCAGAAAGGCTGCATGTGTGTGGGCATGTGGAGCTGCAGAGGGGGTTTTGGGAGGAGTACACAGCCTGGGTATAGGAAGCAAGGAAGAGTGGGGGCCCAGCTGAGGACATTCATCAGTTATTCCAGACCCCGTGACCACCTCCGCCATGGCTCCTCATGCCATCCTGCTGGCTCTCCCAAGCCGCTTCCGTCTCTCCTCCCCAGTCCAGCCCCACCCCATCTGGCAGTGAACTCCAAAACACAAATCTCATCACTCCCTACTCCCATCTCCAGAATAAAGTCCACATTCCTTAGCATGACCTTTGAGACTTCCCTCTCTGTACTGTTCCCCAGCCCTCTGGGCCCGCTCCTCCCCCTCCCTTCCAGCTACACCAGCCTCCTCCCTGGCTCCCAGTTACCACCCCCCCCCCATCTCCTCTGCCTCCAGGCTTTGCTTGATGTGGTCAGTGCCCTTCCCACCCTCCACTTGGCTACCACTCGTCCACCTTCAGAGCCCCACACAAATGGCACCTCCTCCCAGTGGCCTTCCCCGCGGCTCCCCAGGCGAGCGGTTGCTCCCTCATCTCTAGCCAGTGACAGTTTCAACCTTCTCAGCTGCAGCGCTTAGTCCAGTTTCCTGGGTTGTGATTTTCTCTCCCAGGAGAGGGCGAGCATTTGTGTGTTAAGGTTTGGACTGCAGGGACTTGCCTGACAGGGCCTGAGATGCAGGAAACAAAGGTTATTGCATGTTGATTTGGGGGCGTAAAGCGAAGGTAGGGTGCATTGAACACAAAGGTAAATGAGCTCTGGCTCCCAGCTGTGGAGAGTCGGGGCTGAGGGAGAGGCCCGGAGGTGCTCAGAGGAATGAGAAGGAATGAGTTAGGGTGTAGACAGGCCCGCAGGGGTAGCTTGCTTTGATTGCTTGACCAACCCTGGACGGTGGCGTGTAGCTTTTAGGAGCACTGTGAGGAGCAGAAGTCTTAGCCGGCAATAACCTAGGAGGCAACTATGGCAGGACCCATTGGCCCTTTGGGGTGGGGGGCACTCAACTATGTCAATCTTTGGATGAAGAAAAGGGCTGGATGTTCCACGGGCCAGGGACCCACCTGCCGTCTTCCCCTTCTGTCCCCATGTAGAGGAACTGGGTCCCAGTCCTCCACCTCATCCCACCTGCTGTTTTCTGGCTAATCGAAGCCAGCTCTGCCCAAGAAGTCTCTTCCTGCCAGAGATCCCCAGATCCAGGGGTTAGGAATGTCCCTCAATGAGATCAGGTCTTAGGGTCTTCAGGTTGGGGGACCATGACAGCAACTGGGGTGATTCTCTGGATTATTATGGGCCAAAAAAAGTATTTTAGGGCAAAAGAAAGGAGACTGGGTAAGGGGCGGGGAGAAGCTGAGCTGCATCTCTGACCCTCTGTGTTACTTGGGATGGCTAATTGGGGGCTCCGTCTCCCTGGCTGATGGAATGCGGTCCCCCGTTCCCTTCTGTTCTCTTGGCAGTCATCGCCGAAGTAGGCTGTGCACCTGCTCGTGTGCCCAGCATGTGGACAGGTGATTCGGGGTGGGGCCAAACGGGCCTGGGCTGGGAACGGAGTCAGGAGCCCTAGATCTGAGTCCTCTAACACAGAGCTGGGTTTGCCTCCCTCCACTCTGATCACAGTGTGGAGCTGGCAGACACCCAAGCTACAAGCCATCGGCCAGAGGCACAGGGGGGTGACATCCCACCAGCTACCTCTCCAAACTTAGGGGCCGTCTCGAGCCCTTTGACCCACCTGGCTTCCAGGATTTGTTTCTCTGTTTAAGTGGACGATGGTTGTGTGAAGGGCCCCACCATTGCCCCCTGTGAGGGACACCCTTCATAGGAAACATTGTAGTACCATGGGAAGAGGTTGGTCACGATTATACCTGTTTGACAGACAAGGAAACTGAGGGTCAGAGAGAGAAATGTCAGTCGCTCAAGGTCTGATAACTGACTCAGCCAGGATTTTAAACTGGATACTGCTGACTCTAGACCTCATGCCATTTTCGCTGCACCTGTCTGGAGCATTTGAACATTGCAGAGGGCAGGAGCCTGGGTGGGCCTCCCCTCCACGGCGGGCTGTGCTTTGGATCTAGGTGTGGGGGGTGTCCCTCACTGGACATCTCGGCATGAAATGCTGACTTGTCTTTTGTTGTCTTGTCCTTAAATCCCAGGAATCCCCAAACTTAGCAAACCCTTTAGAAGACAAGGTGATGGAAGAATCAGTCAGCAGTAAAAAAAAGGAAAAAAAGAAGCATGTGGACCAAGTAGAAAGTTCAATATTTATAGCGCCTGAAAGTGTTCAATCCTCGGATGACCTAGAAGAAGACACCGGCACCCACCGAGTCCTCTCCAGGTATTTCATTACTACCTTCTCACCCTAGGGACCCAGCTAGAGAGAGACGCTCCTCACCCGTTGTGTTGTCAGTGTGTGATGTGACAGGGTGGCAGGTGAGGGCCTACAGCAAAGGAGACTTTGTAAGAATGGTCACACAGGTTCATGCAAAATTCATCCGGCAAGGTGGTCATTTGCCAAAATCGGAAACACAGATTCATCCTCTGCTCTATATCTGCCCCCCCCCCCCCCCAGACGTGCAGATAAGCAGCAGAATGGGAAGCTTGCCTTCTCTCCTCACTCCAGGTGCCCTTGGGTGGGAACTAGCAATGAGCAGAGAAATGACGGGACTGTAGGCAGGTGTGGGGTGTGAAAAGCAATAGGCTTGGGGACTCTGCTGCGCACCCCCAGTTCCCAGGTAAGTGCTGGTTGGGCTAGAGGTCCGACTGAGCCGATGGAAAGCATCTTCCAGGACCGGAGGGCCTGTGCTCCTTGTGTGCGGAGGGGACCTTCATGCCATCACGTGGAATTTGGACTTGAAGATTACGGCTTCACCCATGAGTTTGGTTCTAAAGAATGAAGGATAGTTCCCTTATCTCAGGAAGATCATGAACTTGAACCAGTCAGCAGGAGGCTTGCCACACACATCTGCTCTGTCACTCCAGGGTCACCAGATTTGTCCCAGGGGAAATAGTTCACTGCTGGCTTTCAGAAGACCCTGGTCTCTCCCCATTATCACTCGTCGTCACTGTTGGGGGGCCCTGTGTGTTCAGGCATCGCCCTGGCATTTCCGCATTAATTCTCACGGGCACCCCCACAGGCAGGGAGGTAGGACTGTGCACTTTCAGGACTGGCCCAGGAGGCTCGGGGCGCCTCTCAGCCTAGGAGGTGGCAGGGCTGGTGTCGTGGACTCAGCCCTGCCAGACTCCGTGACCCCGTGTGTTTCCTGACCCCTCACGACCTGTGGAGGGTGAGCCACACTGACCGCAAAGGGAAGCTGTGGCGATCGCGCGTTGGGGGAGAGAGGGCAGGAGCCCGGACGGGGAGAGCCAGAAGGAGCTGGCAGACACCCAGCTCCCCGTCTCCCCTCTGCCTCGCCGTCAGTGCCGTGAGGCACCGAAGGAAGGTTCGTGGGGAGCCCGGTTGGGGAGGAGCAAGGCACCACGGGAGACGGCCGCCAGCGTTGGCCGTGACTCCCAGAGTCCCTCTCCCTGCCGTTTCATGACCGTCCAGCAGACCTCCGTGTCTTAGCATGTCGCTGGACCCTGCCGTGAGTGCTGGTGAGCACGTGGGCACAGGGCCCGGGGCTGTCACCTACTTTATCACCACTTGGGGAGGGGCCATTGGTCACTTGTCAGACGGCTCAGCTTCTCCCTGAGCAGGTCAGTTCTCAGTCATCCGTGAGCAGCCACTCTGTGATGGTGTCTGCTCGCCTTGGGGACTTCCGAAGTGTCAGCCTCAGCGTGATTCAGGCACTCCGTCTCCAGAGCCTCCCCGCTGGAGAGAGAAGCCAGCTCCGGCCAGTCTGCTGGGACCAGACTGGAGGGAAGGACCCAGTGTCGGGAGGCCAGCGGGGCTTGGATGGTTTAGGCCTCAGAGGCAGGTGGAGGGTCCGAGCAGCTTGGGGGCTAACCTGTTATTTGTGGTGAGGTGAGCGTGGAGGCCTAAGTGGCTTCAGGTCTGGGAGAGGAGAGGAGAGGAGGCATTCGGCTGTAAGGAACACCTGAGCAAGCAGCTGGCACGCTGCAGGCATTTGGTGAATATTTGCGGGGAGTCGGGTGGGAGGAGACATGGAAGGTGGGGGGAAAGGGAGCATCTGGGCTCTGCTGTCTCAGGAAAAACCAGCAAAATCTGTCTCCGTGGAGGTGAGACCCAGGGCTTCGATCCGGAAAAGTAGACCGGGATTTCGGCGGATGTGGGAAGAGGCCTGGCTGACCGGTCACTGCAAAGGTTTCCCTCTGACCTCTGCACGGGCAGGCAGCAGCTCCCTCTCCGGCGCCTCCTCCATCCCACCTGGGGCCAGGCTGGAATTACGGGGAGGAGTGCAGCCAGGTGAGGCTGATGCCACGTGGAGGCGTGTGTGCAGAGGTGTGCTCCCTGGGCGCCCCTCCCTGTGCCACGCCCTCTCACCTGCTCTCTGCAGGGTGCTTGGTGCTGAGTTTAAAGTCAACACCTGGCCCCACGCTGCGGAATGGAATTCAGCTCTGGGCATCTCTCTTCCCAGGATGTTTTCCTGCCGGTACATGGACTCAGTCACTAGCTCTGGCTTCCTGTGGGTCTAGGCAGAAAGGCCTGCTGTTCTGCACCCTCCTGGACCCCTGGTGACCTGTCTCCATCCACCCCCAGCCCCCTCTTCCCTAATCCCCAGTGCTCCACGCACTCTGGACTTAGTTGAGGTCCTTGAATGCCCAGCGCCTTCACCTTTGAGGACCCTCTGTCCCCTGCCTGTCTCCTGCCTTGCTCCCTTGGGTCCCAGCTTTAGTTGCACTTCCTCCAAGCAGCCTTCTTGGATTCCTCCAGGCTAGTTTGGATCCGCCTTTATATGTTCTCATAGCCTCTGCTCTTATCAAAATAGTTTCTCTGTCAGGTGCTCTCCCCCTAGATGGTGAGCCAGCGCCTGGGGGGGGGGGGGGGGGCGGGCACACCAGCATTGCACAGCCCCTGGCCGCAGCTGGTGCTCAGGACAAATTCTGAGGCTCCGCGGGGAGCCGGGTCCTCGGCACTTATGCCTGGCGCCCAGTAGGCTCTTGCTAGTGCTGGCTCTTATAAGAGAATGAAGTCCCACATGTACACCTGAAGGAATCTCCTGTTGATTAAACTCTAACCCACCTAAAAGCATGCTGGGAGAGGGGGCAGAAGAAACGGCGAGAGACCCCTCCTCAGGGGATGCGCTTTTTGCTAGAAAACATTACCAACAGAGGAGAGAGTGCCCTCCGCCCCAGCTGCTCTTACGGACACCGCACCGCGGGTTCTTTTTCCTGGGGGTGCATTTTGTTTCATTTTTGTGACGTGATACCAGCCAGCAAGAACTAGCACAGGCTTCGGATTGAGAACAAAGGCTGAAGTTTCCCTTAGGCCAAGCCCAGCACCTGGTGCAGAGTAGGCACCCCAAAACTATTCATTGGAAGCCATGGGAGGGAAAACCGAGGCAGCGATGATGAATTCCTCTGGGATAAACTCTTGCCTCAAATGCCTTTTTCCTGGAGCCCAGAATGCCGCATAGTAGGTTTCCCTGGAGGAAACGGAGGTCTCTCTGCACCAGGGCACACACATCAACACCTGATACCTAGGTCTCCTGTGAGAGCAAGACAGGGCCACTCTGACCGACAGGACAGGAACCCCCCCAGCTCCGTGAAGTGCTGGTGGGGGAATGATGATCCATTTTATTATTTTTTTTTAATTCCTCACCTGAGGATATTTTTCCGTTTATCATCAGACAGAGTGGGAGGGAGGGAGGGAGGGGGAGAGAGAGAGAGAGAGACAGACAGAAACATCAATGTGATGGAACCACACTGACTGGTTGCCTCCTGCACAACCCAACCAGGGCTGGGGACGAACTGCAACCGAGGTACATGCCCTTGACCAGAATCGAACCTGAGACTCATTGGTCCACGGGCTGATGCTCTAACTGTTGAGACAAACTGGCCAGGGCTGATGATCCATTTTAGAGATGAGGAAAACTGATCAGAACAAGTACTTGGCTAAGGTCTCCACTTAATCCCAGAGACAGGACAGGTATACCCCCAGCTCCGTGAAGTGCTGGTGGGGGAATGATGACCCATCAGGAATCCCAGGCTTCTGGCTGGGTCCTGTTTGCCTCAGTCCTGGGTAAGTCAGCTTTATTAGAAGGTCAGAGATCTGTTCCACATTGGCCTCAAAGGCATGGTCAGAAAATTAGCCTCCTCGTGCACGAAAGAGGGGGTCCACCCAAGACTGGACAAGCAGAGAGCTGCACTGTGCACAGGACGGAGCAGCGGAAAGGGAGTTAGATACCAGGTCTTGGCCCTGGTCTGACCGTAGCTAGCAGAGGACATCTGGCAACTCCGCAGACTCAGAGATGCTTGGAAAAAGAGATCCCTTCCTGCTGTGAAATCCTGTGCTTTCAAGAATATGTTCTGTTCTCTATTTAGAAGTATTTCTCACTGTGTTTTCTTATTGACGGGGGCCCAGTGTTTCTCTGATATCCATCCTAGTCATTGTAAGCACTCTCCAGTATTGGGTGAAATGCCTTGTTTCCGTCACTGGGACTGAAGTCCTAGTTTGCCTAAACCTAGTTTGCCTAAACCCACATGCAGAAAACTCGGGGGGGGGGGGGGGGTAGTGCTCAGCCGAGCCACAGGAAGCTCTTGGTGGCACCAATTCAAAACGTGTGTTTATTTTTCAGGACTAGCCACAGTGACTCCAGCATTTACATTCGACGACATGCTAATAGGTCTTTGGAATCGGTTAGTATGCGAATTTCTTCTTCTTCCGTGCACCCCTGCTAATCAATTCCTTTCCATCCCAGCCCAGAGCTGTGAAATTACTGACATGCAGCAACTATACTTTTGGATAGAAGACAAGCAAATTGAAATCTTGTTGTTAAGCATAGTCCGATCGGATGTCCAATTTGGGCAATAGGGGATGTAAATAAAGTGCTGATTTTAAAGCCCGAAGGTCTCTTTGTCATATAAAAAAAAATGCATGCAATACCCCCACACCTCCCCCAGAAATTTCAAGTTCAAAGAGAGGTGCAACAGAAGTGGAGCGTCCAGTGGGGGTTCAGCTTTACATTTGCAACAATGTACCTCTGTTTGTGTTGGGACCCAAAGCACCATGGTCCACGGCCCTGATTCAGGTGGTGGGTGGTGGGGCCGGGGTGGGGGTGGGGCAGAGGGTAGAAGAACCGGAATGTTGTTTAGACTTTGACTTGGGAACTAGATGTTTACAGTATTGAGAGAGGCATGGCACACTCGGCTTTGTATGTTTAAAATCGTTTTATTTTCTGTTTCAGAGATTTCATCTTTACTAATTGGGTTGCGGGGGTTTTGTTTATAAATTTCACTGTAGGATCATTCTAGCTATGTTCAATTGAGGAATGCAGCCGATCTGGATGACAGGAGAAACCGAATGTTAACCAGGTTGGTGGCTCACTCGGAGTTTTGTGGGGTTGGGGGAAAAAAATGTTTTTCTTTTTAATTATGCATCCAGCCTTCTGGAGGTGGCTATTTTCCAGCTGGGTTTTGTTGTTAAAAAGATTGAGAGTCTGAGATAAGACAAAGAAATAACTGTTCCAGGGAGAATGAATGTAAATTGAATATGAGTGGGAGGGAAAAGCGGATATTCATGAACAGAAAATGACCCAATTTAGGGAAGGTTGTGGGTCACGCAACTGCATTTAAATAATGCGGAGGCAGCGTAAGCGGTCTGTCCGAGGACGCTCCAGGCAGGAGCGGCAGTGGTGTGATACTCTGTGCCCTGAAGGCCACCGCGCCTGACAACCGTGTTCATTCTGTCGTCCCTGCAGGTACAATACTCAGAAGCTCACTGAGCTGATTTTACAGTTTTATGGCATCAGAGCAGACATGAAGAGGGAATGCAAACATGCCAGGATTTCCATGAAAGTATCTCGTTCTGTTGGAGAACTAGATAACCTAGTCTAGGCGGCTGCGCTGCTATGACCCTGCCCACGTAGGACATAGGCAGCCAGGGAAATCTCTCAAGTTGACACGTCTGGCATGCTCCCTACCTCTGTTAAAGCGATTGAATCACTTAATTTGATTGATCTTTTTTTTTATATTTGCCACGGATTTGAAGTGGCTGGGAAGGTCTTAAATTATTGGCATGGAAAACCTCTGCCTGAATATTGCCCGACGCCCAGGGGTATAATGCCTAGAATTCCACCTCTCTGGCTCCTCTCAGAGAGGCAAGACCAGTTTCCCGCCCCTGCCATAAAATGGAAATATTAATTCACATTTTCCATCAGGCTTGACATGCTCATAGGAAAATAGGACTTTTAGCTTTTATGAGATAGCAACTTTGAAAATTGAACCTGTGAGGTTGAAACGTGCAGTTTTCCATGTTTTTGAGCATTTATGACCTCTGCAATAAAAAAATGCAATTTAAATTTTCTCTACAAGCAGTTTTAAGAAAGAGAAAGCAGTTCTGTCCGTTGACCATTATTTGCATGTGAATCACTCAGTTTCCAGACCAAACCTATGTCGGGAGACAGTTCAGGATGAAGTGGTCTTCACCTCTCCTGGTCACCATCACAAGCCCCAAATGACCCTAAAGACATTCACTCCAGGCTCGTATAAATGCAGCTTCAGGCAGAGGCTCCCAACGCCCCTTCCGATCAGTAATGTCCCCCAGCCCTTTGTGGGCATTGGAACTCGTTGGTCACCACCACATAGTACCTTCTGCCGGGCAAAAACTAAAGGTTACCTTAACTCTACCTTCTGTAAAATAAAAGAAGGATTAATCTGACCAAAATCAAATCTAGTAATTATTTTAAAAGCCAAAAAACCAAAGTTGGTAGTGGTTTGGGTGGTTTTCTTTTTGTTTTTTGTTTTTTTCCATTTGGTAATCCTCACCGGAGGATATTTTTTTTTATTGATTTTTTAGACAGGGAGGGAGGGCGGGGGAGAGAGAGAGAGGGAGACATCCATGTGAGAAAGACACATCGATTGGTTGCCTCCCGCGTGAGCCCTGTGGGGGCCGGGGATGGGACTGCAATCCAGGTACGTGCCCGAGACCAGGAATCAAGCTGTCGAGCCTCTGGTGCGTGGGCCGTCGCTCTAACCACTATGCCACACCGGCCAGGGATTTTTGGGTCCCTGATGGCTATTTTCAAATGATCTGGAACTGGGGAACTCTGTTCCTTTAGCTGACTCATGAAGCCCCTGCCACTGATGATAGAACTGTCAGTGGTGGAGACAAACTGAGCATTGTGGACGCTCACAGGGACGTCTGGCCCCCAGCCCCCACCTTGGGTCTACACGAGCAGGGTCTCTCGGACGCCTCCCTGGCCCACCGTCAGCTCTGGTTGGGCAGGAAGGTTGGAGTAGGGGGAGCCAGGGGGTCTGCTCGCCCAGGGTCCCGCTTGTAACAGCCTTGCCTGTGGCTTCCTCCTGCAGGAAGGCCAACCACTCTGGAGAAGCCACGCTGCGGGAGAGCCAGAACCTGGACAGCGACTCCCTGACGCAGTTCGTCCAGCAGCCGGACATGATGTATTTCATCCTCTTCCTCTGGCTCCTGGTGTACTGTCTGCTGCTCTTCCCACAACTGGACGTCAACCGGCTCTGAGGCGCGCGTCTGCATAATAAAAAGACAGGACCCTGACGGTGGGAGTCTTTGTGCGTCGCTTTATTTCCCGTTCTGGACTGGGCGTCCTGCAGACCGCTGAGGATCTCCCAGGAAACGCGGCCTCCTCGCTTTTCTGTTGTCACGTTTGCTTTTCCTCCTGTGCGTCCTAAGCATGCGTCCCCTCTGGCTGCGGACCCAAGGCTCGGGCGCCGGATCCTTAGGCGGGCTTTGTTCTTGCGTCCTTGCTTGGGCAGGTACCAGTGTCTAGCCGTAGCCCGGGTCTGAGCCTGGCCTGCATGCAGGTTTCTAAGGTCCTGGATGGACTCGAGTCACTCACCTCTCTGGGAGGGTCCTCCTGATGAGAGAGGGCCGTTACCTGGGGCAGAGCCCCCACTGGGAAGAAAACCCGCCACATTTTTCTCCAGGAGGGGGCGTTTGCGTGAAGGCGGCTGGTGTCCCTGCACCTGTGTAGTCTGGCGATGGGATAACCGAGTGTCACACAGCTGCCGACTCCAGGAAGGCCTCTGGGAATGGCCAAACCCACGCAGGGAAGCGAACGCTGTGTCACGGGCTGCAGGGGCTCTTTTTCACCTGAGGTTTTGGTTTTTTGAATGGGGAAGGTAGGATGCATTTTAAATTCACTTTTGCCTTGATCGAATTGAGGTGAAGCTGGATTTTCAAATCTTTTCCACCAATGGAACCCTCCTCTCAAATGAATTCTTGGGGCAGGCTGTGGGCAGTCTAGACTGTAGATAAAAGCAGACTTCTGGCTGACACAGGGCAGGCCTGGGACCCTTCCCATGTTGCCCCAGCAGCCTCCTGGCCTCCATCGATGGCTCCTGAGGTGTCTGTGCGAATCCCCAGGGCCCTATGGGGCACTGCCAGAGCCCTAGAAAAAGCCTGAGGGGTATAGAAGAGGCGGGCTAAGAACAAGCTCCATCTGATGGTAGGGCTGGACGTGGTCTAGCAGGTTCCTGCCCCAGGAAAACCTGTGCACACCTGCTGCGGAGAGCAGTTTCGGCTTGGGCATCCTCGGTAGTCCTCACAGCAGTTTTCCTGAAAAGACTTTCTGGAAAGCCCCCGAGAGTTAGGTCGGAGTAGGCAGACGGTCTGGGAGCAGACGGAGGCACCCACCCGCCCTTCCACCTTCCAGCCTGGGCTCCCTCTGCACTGTTTCCTCGGGGATGCCGGTCGCGGTGATTGTGTAGCTTCCTCCTTCCACTGTCCTCCCCAGAGACGTTTATAAAATCACAAACGATTAGGTCAGGAGGGACCCTCAGACAGCATCTTGTCCAGCTGAACCCAGAGAGGCAAAGCGGATTGTCCAAGGTCACCCACCCCACCAGGAGCAGACTTGCAAGCACACCCAGGCCACCCACTGCCCAGTCCAGTTTTAGGGAACTCTTACCTCTTTTAGGGAACTTCCATTGTGCCCATGAATGTCCTGGAAAAAAAAAAAAAAGATGATTAGATAAAAATGACCTCATTTAAACAAAACCAGAATTTTTAGGCCAACTTTCACCCTTTGTTTTGTTCTCAAATTTTTCCCATGAGGAAGTTGCATTCGCTTTCAAGCCCATCCCCTAGTCCTTGTGGGGGACCCTCCGCAGCTCTCACCTTGTCCGCTGACACGCCAGCCTCTGTCTCGCTCCAGGGGTCACACTTCTCTCTGAGCAAGCCAAGGACTCGTTTATTTCAAGCAGCGAGGTTCAAGTTGCCAGAATCCCAGCATGGCCGAAAGAATTCACACAGCACATTTGAGCCGACAGCCAAACTCTGGCCCCTGACCCGCGCTGATTAGGGCCCGTCTTCCCTCCACGAGCCTTCTCAGCAGAAAGCTGCTGGAGCTTGGAGCGATTCCATCCTGAAGGCCGTGTCCCGTGGAAAATGAGCTAATTCATGCGCACCCTGGCATCACTGAAAGCTCAGAGGTACAGATAATAAAGGTTACGTGTGTGATGTTTTATAACCCTGGACACCACGCAGGGCTCGCCTAAATGAGATGCTCGAAGCCCCAGAGACGAGCTGACCCAAGCGCAAATCGCTTCATTTACGGTCTAGACCGGGTTCAGCAAAACCTCCGCAAGCCTCTTCTCTCGCCCATTACAACTTGTAATATTGTTTAAAACCATCGACTGGCAAGATGCCTAAAAGTCATTTCTTTCAGGTTGGCAGCAAACTGAATTTTTTTTTTTAAGGAAAAAAAAAAAAGTCTCTTTTGAGTAGGGGCTCCTACGAAGGATGCTGGATATAAAAGGTGGATAGAAAAGCCTCCAGAACGAACCACCCCATGAATTTTAATTTTTTTAAAAAAGGATTTATTTTAGACTCTTCTCCAAGTCATACATGTTCATCGTTTAGAAAAGCAAATAAATGCTCTAAGGCTTTTAATGAAAACTAGTAGTCCCAGGTCTTGCCCCCTAGAAATTCTTTCGAATACTTACCTTTGCATTTCTACATAACAGGCTTATACTTTTGTTTTTTAGTTCATTTAGAAGCAGCTCCTGACTTAACCCTTAAGGCAGATGAGGTTCTCTCTTACCCATCACCCGCTTGGTTTTGCCAGTGTAGTTCGGTCATACTATTGGTGCGTCTGTTTGGTGTGGCGGTATTAGGACTGTTTTTCCTCCTGAACCATGTTGGGTACTGCGCTTACCAATTCTTTCTTGTCAAACTTCCCCTTGATTCGATTTTTTCCCCGGTGTGGTACATTCTTTAATAACATCTCCAGAAAAGGAACACAGGAAGTAAATATTGTAAGTACTTTGAGATTTTTGCATAACTTAAAATGTCTGCATTCTGCCCTTACCCAAGTGGGACCGGGTATAGAGCTGCAAGTGGAAAATAATGGCCTCTCTTCACCCCCCAATGTGGTTGTTGATATTTCTGAGGCCATTATGATCCCCAGGCCTTTAGGGGTGGCTTGAGCATCCCTCCCAGGAGACATTGAAGATCCCTTCATTGTGAATGTTCTGAACTGTCCCGTGATGTGCCCTTGGTGGTGGACCTTGTGCTGGCTCTCCTGGGACTCGTCTTACATTTTCTTGTAAATGTTTACCTTTCATTCCATACCACCTGTTCCCGTGTTGCACCTCTCAGGTTAACCCTTCAACATCTTTCACCTTTTCCATTTCTTGTCTCTTTATTTTTTTATCTGCTTTCAGGGAGAGTTATTCAGCTTCTCAATTTGCCTGTTGAATGTCTTATTTAATTTTTTATTCTCCAATCACTTTGTCTTGTCTCTTGTTCCTGTTTTCTAGTGCCCTGTTCTTGTTTCGTGAGTGCAGGTGTTGTCTCTCTGTGGCTGTTCATGATAGTGGGGTTCTTGGAAGTCCTTTTCTGCTCCCCATGTTGCTTTTGTTTCCTCTGAGTTTCATTTCTCTTGGTCTCTGACTTTCATATCACAAGTTTTATTTCCCCCCCAAATATCTGGTGACCCTGTGGATCTGGTCATCTTTAAGAGTCACATGTCAAAAAAATGGGTTGGAAGCTTGTGTCAGCTAGTGGGCTTTCCTGTAGGGTCAGGAGGTGAGCACCTGGACTCCTGCATGGGAGGACCCCAGTATCAGCATTTTCAGGTCTTTTCTCTGGGGCTTGTTGTGTTTCTGTGGAGACATTTGCGCTTCTCTGGTGCCTGGGAAAGAGGAGCACCACAGGGCTGCTGCCGGCCTGTGCGCTGCCCTCGGGTGGACGACTTCGGAGAAGGTGCCCTCTGTGGGCAGAAGCCACCCATGGGCACTTCGCTTGACTGGCAGAGGGTACCTGTTGCCCACTCCTCCAGGGAGAAGCAGCCCTGAGGTAGGGCAAAGTTTGAGGAGCAGAGCAGAGGGTGAGGTTTTAACTAACTGCGCCTTAGCCGAGCGCCTTTGTGTAGGGGCGTAGGTAGCCGGAGAGCCCAGCGCACCCGGTGCCCAACCGCTGACTCTGAGCAGGCAGTCCCCTGCAGTGTTAGACCCAGCGAGCTCCACCGCCTGCTGGGCCGGGGCCCTGGGTCGCAGCTCCTCTGGTTTCTCTGTGGAAAGGGACAGCCCGCTGCTGCTCAGGGTGGCGGCCCCCTCCGCGGGGGTGCGGGGGCGGGGCCCCTCTGCCCCCTCAGTTCCCCAGCAGCCCGCCCCCGGCACCTCACGCCTGCGCCGTCTCCTCCATCCCGTTGTCCTCATGAAGGAAATGGGCCCATGCACAGGTCCCATTTGAGCTTTCTCCCCGCTTTATTAGGTGGCCCCGTGCTCTGTGGACATGGCTGCGAACTTGCTGTGAGTCCAGCTGGGGCTGGGGGAAGTCCGTCCCGCCGAGTGTGGTCTTGTGGGTGCCTCTGTGTGATGATGTGCCAGAGAGGCTGAGTTAGCAGGCAGAGGCTCTCCTGAGTGCCACAATCAATTATTCTCCTCTGTCCCCCTTTTTCACCCTTCCCCCCATGGGACTTAGATCTCCCACCTCCCCACAAGCATACGTAGTTTCTAGGTTTTTTCTGCCCCCCTCACGTCATTCAGAAGCTAGGAATCCATACGGTGTTTGCCAGCGAACACGCAGGGTGGTCCCTCTGTGGGTCGGCTGTCTGGAACTGGGTGAGCATTTCCTCCTGGCTGAACCCCGTCCCTGTGGGGAGATGGACTCCCCCCAGGGCTGGGAACCAGAAAGGACGTCCTCACTTCCCCCGAGACAGCCGCCCCGGACACATGCTTCTCCCTTTCTGGGGTTCAGCATGGTTCCCCCAACTCTCCGTGCGGTGCTTGCCTGCTCTTTGTAAGGGTAGGAGGGGTGGGAGGCAGACGCACTGGGGGCTGTGTGTAGAGCCCATCTTCATGAAGCATAGATTGTGTGATAGCCTCGAGGGTCACGTATGTACGGGGCCAGCACCTCGTTTAAGAAATCGAGAAGGAGAAATGACAGTCACACAGCTGGCTGGGCCCTCCAGATGGGCAGCTCGATTCCCAGGCAGGTCTACAGCACTGCAGCCTCTGGCCACGGGAGCTCGCCTGCACCCCCTCCCGCCCCCTGGG